GTTGGTCCCCTGCAGGCTGGAGGAACCTCTGTGGGTTGAGCCCGACCTGGGTGTCCCCTGCCCCCACACTCTCATCTCCCTGGCACCACTGGATGGTCCCAGGTTTGGGCCCTCAAATATTGCTCTGAACACAAAACCAAGGGGATCCATCTGTGTGGGTTACTCATGTCCGGGTGAGGCAAAAAATGTCTCCCCCTTCACATAAAGTTAAAACCCAGTGCACGCTGTCCTTGGAAAAAAACAGTATCCCATAAAAAGTAAATCTTTCAGAGGAATCCAGCGGTTATTTTCAAAATTTCTCAAGTATGGACTGATCAAGCCTTGTCAATCCCCATAATACCCCAATCCTCCCAGTGAGGAAGCCCAGTGGAGAATTTTACTTTGTACAGGATTTGAGGGCTGTAAATAAAGGAGTTGTTCCCATACACCCAAGAGTACCCAACCGGTATACTCTGCTTACCCAGGTTCCTGGCAATGCTCAGTTTTCCACTGTCCCGGGCCTGAAGGATGCCTTTTTCTGCATATTCCTTCATGAGGAAAGTCAATATTTACTTGTGTTTGAATGAAAAACCCCTTGTACTCAAAGGACTACTTAGTACACCTGGACTTTAGAGACCACCCCCATCTATTTGGAAATGTACTGGCAAGAGAATTACAGGAATTAAAAGTGAGACATGGGATCCTCTTACAATATGTTGATGATTGGTTAATAGCCAGTTTGACCAAGCAGGCCTCTGACCAGAATACTGTAAAAACTTTAAATTTTCTACTAAGAGAAGATATAGGGTTCCCCCATCAAAAGCCCACATATCAGAACAACAGGGCCAGTATTTGGGCTTCATCCTGACACTGGGCCATGGATCCCAAGAGGACCGTCAGTGCCTTGCCCATTCCCCAAACCAGAAAGTGACTCTGTGGCTTTCTGGATATGGCAGAGCCCTGTTGCATCTGATTCCCTAATTATGGCCTAATGGCCTTGGCGGGGGGGGGGGGGGGGGTAGGGGACCCCTACAACAGACTGATGTCAATGGGTCTTTTTAAAGCCTTGAAAACTGAGTTGGGTGTCGCCCCTGCACTGGGGCTCCCCAATTTACCTCTATGTCCATGAGAGGCAGGGGATTGCTTTGAGGGTCCTAGCTCCAAAGCTGGGCCCTGATCAGAGACTGGTAGCCTATTTTTCTTTTTTTATAAAGATTTTTTTTTTTTTTTTTTATTTGCGAGAGAGAGAATGAGAGATAGAGAGCACGAGAGGGAAGAGGGTCAGAGGGAGAAGCAGACTCCCTGCTGAGCAGGGAGCCCGGTGCGGGACTCGATCCCGGGACTCCAGGATCATGACCTGAGCCGAAGGCAGTCGCCCAACCAACTGAGCCACCCAGGCGCCCTGGTAGCCTATTTTTCAAAATAACTGGATCCAGTTGCACAGCTCTCTTAGTGAGTGAGGCCTCTAAGCTGACCCTGAGTCAACATGTAACTCCCCATCAGGTTCAGACAGTATTAGAAAGTAAAGGGCACCATTGGCTGATTGGAGGAAGGCTAACGAAGTATCAGGCCCTCTTGCTAGATTCCCAGATGTTATTTTAAAAGTATGCCAGACTAAACCCTGCTACCCTGCTCCCATCTGCAGAAGATGAGGGTCTCCAGCATCAGGGTGTGGAGACAATGAAACAGACATATTCTAGCAGACCTGATCTTTAAGACAAATGCCTTGACCATCCAGATAGGGTGTCGATTAGGCATGGGAGAAGTTTTGCGGAGGGAGGTGTCTGGAAGGCAGGCTCCATGATAATGAGCCTAGGTAGAGTCTTAGAGGCTTGAGCTCTTCCACCTCAACACTCCGCCCAACCGAAAGCCTGAACTGATAGCCCTAATTAAGGCCTCACAGTTGGGAGAAGGAAAAAGATGAAGTCTCTATACTGATTCAAAATATGGGTTCCCTGTACCATATGCCCCATGCTGCCATCTGGAAAGAAAGGGGAATGTTAACTACGAATTCACCAATAAAACACTAGGACCCAATTTTCACCCTCCTAAAGACAGTGCAACTTCCCAATCAGGTGGCTGTAGTCCATTGTGAAAGTTGTCAAAAAGATGGGACCTCTGTCAGCGAGGAAAGTAATAAGGCTGACCAATCAGCTGTTTATTTATTTACTTCTTTTAAAGATTTAATTAATTTATTTGACAGAACAAGCCGGGGGAGCCTCAGGGAGAGGGAGAAGCAGACTCCCCGCTGAGCTGGGAACCCGAGGCAGGCTTGATCCCAGGACGCTGGGATCATGACCTGAGCCAAAAGCAGACGTCTAAGGGACTGAGCCACCCAGGCGCCCCCAATCAGCTGTTTAAACAGGCCACCTGAGCTCAGGAGCCAGCCCAGATTACCACCATGAGTTCCCTGGCCAGCCACAGAACCCCCTGCTAGAACAGGAGGACACAAAGAGACAGGGATAGAGCGAACAAAGCACAGGGTGGCTTATGAGAGAGGACAAAATTCTCATTCTGGAAGCCCAGCAGTAAAAGCTCATTCAGCATTCCATGATGCCACCCATTATGGAAGAGACGTCCAATGGAACTTGGTGCAAAAGGTCTTTTCAGGATAGGAACTTAGACAATAAAACAAGTTACCCTCGCCTGTGACTTACGCACCCAAAACAAACTACAGACCCATCCAATCAGTCCCGACTTCTTATACCAGCCCAACACCAGGGACCGTATCCCAGGGAAGACGGGCAAGTAGTCGACCCTGCTGCAACACGAGCAGGCTACAAATACCACCTCGTGTTTGTCGATACTTTTACTGAATGGGTACAAGCCTTCCTCACCGGTCTGGGAAGGCAACCGAGGTCTGTAAATCCCTCTTAAAAGAGAATTCCCCGGTTCGGGGTCTCTGAGTCTCTCCAAAGTGAGAGACTCCTTTTACAGCTAAAATCACCCACCGCCTATCAGCGGCCCTGGGAATAAATTATAAATTGCATGCTCCCTGGCATCCCCATTCCTCAGGGAAGATTGAAAAGATGACTTATACGCTAAAAAAGACTTTAGCAAAACTTTGTCAAGAAACTCATGAGCCTTGGGTCCAATTGCTTCCTATTACACTACTCAGGATTGCCACTGCCCCTAAGACTAACCTAAGACTCAGCGCATTTGAAATGACATGGGAGGCGCCTCCTCACCCCTGGTATTTTACTAGATGGGAAAATAAGCCAGAGCTTGCACCATTTTATTTGGGACAGGTGCAAAAAGCAGTTGTGGATTATGTTAATAACATGCTACCAGCACCCCCTAGAGGTAATTTAGATGAGACTCCCCCTCCCCCGCCCCACCACCTCTGCAAATTAATCCAGGGGATCAGGTCCTCCTTAAAACCTCCTTGGAAGGAGGGCTCCCTGGAAGATCAGTTGCTACCCAAGTGGAAAGGCCCCTATTTAGTGATTTTAGCCACCCCAACAGCAGTTAAGCTCCAGGGAATCCCTAGCTGGGTACATCTTTTCAGGCTAAAACCTTTTTCTCCTGGACATCCTCAGAAATACCTGGAAGGCCCAGAACCATCTTACTCATGTGAGCCTGTGGAAGACCTCAAATACTTGTTCAAGAAGCAACCCTCAGAGTCAGATAAGTGATTATACCTTGGTGGTTTGGCTTGCTGACTTTGCTTTTTGTTGCCTTTGTTTTACTTTTTCTTCTTTGTGAGTACTGCTTTGGGTCACCTCCACTCCCTGGGAAAGACCCGTTCTGCCCCTGCAGGGTCTAGAAGATCACAACCAATGATGGGACTGATGAAGTGGACCCTTCTCTTGGCCCTTCTCCTGGGGATGAGTCAGGAAGAAAATAACAAAGTGGGGGAAAACTGGAGAGAAAACTCAATTGTCAACTTTTCTAGCATTGTGGCCTCGGGAAATAATCTCTCTAATTGTTGGATCTGTCATCCTCACCCACAAGATGGGGTTCCTAAGCTCCAGTTTGTACCTATAAATGAGGATATTACTCTCACCTTGACTTCTGGTCCTGTTAGGAGCACAGCCCTTCTAGTAGTAGAACTCGATGATCGTGATGATATGAGGTGTGTCAGGCTTACAGACTTTTGGAACCAAACTGGTCTCCAGGTTAAGCGGCCTCTTCTCTGTCAAGAACAAGGACAGCCCTGTTGCCCCTGCCGGACAGATACCTGCCTTACCAACATGGGAAGCTCGCCCTCCATTTATCCTATGTCATTTTCCTCTTCAAGCTCTTCATGTAGCCCCAACCAGACCCACTGGTGTGTGGACTCGTCTCTACTCTCCCCAGGCGACCAACCTAACTTCTCCTGTACATACTGGAAAGGAACAGCAACCCCTTCCTGGAGACTGACCTATCAGACCCCATCTGCCTTCGACAGCCAGGAGGGAATAGAAGAGGATTCAGAGCTTGGTGGGGGGCCACTGGACGGAGGGCCCCTGTCCCCCAGATGCAAGAGTACACCTACCTGGGGTCCCCTTTTACGAAGTTGGTTTAATTCCTCTTCACCCCGCCAAGCTTGTACCCCACCTGGGTATCTCTTTCTCTGCGGTCCACCACAAAATAAACTACCCTATGAAGGGAGCCCTAATTCCTCCTTCTCCTGGCCTCTTCGGGCAGTGGCCTATTCATGTGTAGATAATGTTCACTTCCGGGGAGAATGCACTTTGGGACGATTGGGTCCTAAAGGATTAGGCGCCACTATATATAACGTCACCTCTCAAACCAGACGGAAGAGAGCACTCGGGCTCATCTTGGCAGCACCTGGAGAAGCCGTAGGACTGGCTGCCCCCTGGGGGGGGTTTGCTTATCATGAAACAACCTTAAAAAACCTTACCCAGGTCATAGAAAACCTGGCCACAAACACTGGTGACAGCTTCGACGGCCTCCAGGAGTCCCTGGATTCCTTGGCTAATGTCGTACTTGACAATCGGTTAGCTCTAGATTATCTTCTGGCCAAACAAGGGGGTGTCTGTGCAGTGGTCAACAACACTTGCTGTACATACATCAACAACTCTGGGGAAGTGGCGCTAAATACTCAGGAGACTTACAGACGAACCAAATGGTTGCGTGGGTTCAATAATCACAATGCCCAAACTCTGGGACTCAAGTAGAGGCTCTGTGCCTAACATTGTGTGATTCTTTCCATTCCTGGGCCCTCCTGTGGCCATCATTCCTTTGTTAATATTCAGACCCTGCTTCTTTAATCTTTTGGTTAAGTTTGTGTCTTCTAGACGACAGCAGTTTCCTGTCAAACTGATGGTGGTACAAGGGTCCCACCTACCGGGTCCCAAGAGGAACAAGGTCCTTTAGGGCGTTAGAGCAGCCCCTGAGAGATTTTACTCCTCCAGGGTAGGACAGGGACAACGCCCCGCTCGGCAAGAAGCAGTTTCACAAGATGGGACCTTCGGCCCCTCCTTAGGAGTAAGGAGGGTACAGTCTCTCAGGGGGGACTGAGATGGAACAGAGGCTGTGTCTGGGACCCCACCCCCCCCCAGCCCACAAAGCCCGTTGCTCTGTGCCTATCGACTTAGAAGAAGAGGCTGAACTACACGTTTGGAGCAGTATATCGCAGGAGATCTCGGGGATGCAGAAGCGGGATGTTTGCCAGAAAGAACTCTGCAGGAGAAACCGGACCAAACCAGCCTGTGCCGCGGGGGGACCCCAGCGCTGACCCTTCAGCCACTCTCTCCTCGGGACGATCCTGACGGCGGCGGCCGGGGGTGGAGACTTGACATGCAAATGAGACACGTGCTGCCTGCGGACGCGAGGCGTCCACTGCGCCTGCGCGCAGCTGCCCCGGTCGCCACCTGTCCAAGCTGGGAGGTCCCTGCTTTCCCGCCTCAGCCCCTTTCCAGACTTTCCGGGCCTTTGTTGCCGGCGCTGCCCCCCTGGTACCGGAGCGTAAGCCCCCAATAAACACTGCCTCAATCTTTTCTTGGCCTCGCGTCAATGTATGTTTTTGCTGAGAGCGAAAGAGCCCTGGGGTTGAGAACAGTCCCCCCCGGCCCTCTTTCTTGGCTTTCTCCAGTCCCCAGTCTCTGGTGTTATGGGTGCCTTTTTACTTAGTACAGGGAGGGTATTTTTCATATGGGAGATTTGCTTCCTACTTCCAGTGGAACGGAGGAGGGTGTGAGTGTCCTTGAACTCGCTGTTTTGTAAGTAACTTAATTAAGATAATCAGTATGCCAGAGGGGCACGTCGTGGGGGCACCCTGCCCTTTCTCCCTAGATCATTGTAGGGGAAGCCAAACTACCTCTCCCCATCTTAGGTTTTCAGCTAGGACTCTAACAAAAAGATTAACAAGAGAAAAACAGCTAATGCAGGCAGTGCACATGAGAAGTAACTCTGAATGGCAGCTTAGAATTCCAACTTATTTACCATCTTCAATAAAGTACAATAAATTTGCAGAGAGATGAGGGGACAAAGGAAAACAAATTTAGGCCCCAAGGGAAGGTAAACAGAAGGGAGGGAAGTAATGGAGAAAAGTCTATAGATTCTTCTGGTTCCTCTCTGGACTGGTAACTGTCAGTCTCCAGTAAAAGGAGAATTTATATCCAGCCTTTAGGCAAAAAGGGGGGAAGGTAAAGAGCACTTCCTGTGTTGGCTGCTTTTCTTTTTTCTTTCTTTCTTTTTAAGGTTTTATTTATTTTTGAGAGAGAGAGAGCACGAGCAGGGAGGGGTAGAGGGGAGCAAGGAGCCCAGTGTGGGACTCGATCCCAGGACTGTGAGATCATGACCTGAGCCAAAGGCAGACACTTAACCGACTGAACCACCCAGGTGCCCTTTTTTCCCTTCTAACTTGAAAAGCTTTAATTTACACAAATAACTACTAAATACAAAAAGTAGATTAAAACAGTTATTTTTTTTTTCTGGCAGAGTTTAAATGCACATAATGGATAATTCCAAAGAAAATGCATTTTCCCTACAGCATTCAGAACTAAAATTCTACTGAAGTCTTTGCCTCTAACTGCTTTGGCTGCTTCTAAATTACCTTCAGCTCAAATAATTTCTATGACAAAGTGGCATATTTGGGGTAGCCTATTCTGTTACCTTTCATCATCAAAATTTCTGTTTGTTTTTGTTTTTTTTCCTCTTCCTTACATGCTCAGTGGTCATCACATGCCTGAGGCTTCTCATTTGGACAGTATTTTTATTTTGGAAATGAAATGGGGTGGGGGGCACACAGGGAGGAAGGATGTGTTTGATTCCTGTTACACTATGTCAGGCTGCTTGTCAGGTGTTTGTGCCTTGTAAGCATTTAAACCTTAGACATGCTTGGATTCCATGCCTTTTAAGATGACTTCCAGTCAAAAGTCATCCCAATCCAGAATCTAGAAATAGGATTCTAAGTTGTTCAGAATTGGAAGGGGTTCCGGGTGCCTGGCTGGCTCAGTTGGAGGAGCATACGACTCTTGATCTTGAGGTTGAGTTCTGGCCCTACGTTGGGTGTAGAGATTACATAAATAAATAAAAAACCTTTTTAGGGATTCTCAAGGTTATAAAACCCCGAACACCTTGAGATCAGAAGGAGAATGTGGTCTCTGAGAAAGCAAAAAGCAGGTATGACGGCGGCTGTCACCGCCAGACAAGCCCATTCCGCGATTGTGATGGAGACAAAACACGTCTCCTGTGTAACCAGGTTGAAGCGCAAAGACACAAGACCACATGCAAACCACAAAAATGACCACACATCCCTGTCTCAGCTAGCTGCTGCTTTACCAATTAGAATTTTAACCTGTTCTGTTCTACTTCCTAATAAAAAGTAGAATATCTGATCAAACACCGGTGGCCTGATTTCCAACAGCATTCATCCAGAGCAACCTTTCCTTCTTAGACCCTCTCCCAAACCCCCAACACAAACTGAAATCCTATAAATTCCTCCCACACCCTCTCACTGAGACACCCCACCTCCCAGCCTCCCCACGGTGTATGGTATCCATGCTGCTGTCACAGGTACCATCAAATTGGGTTCGGCCACAGGTGGGCTTTAGCTGGTGGGGTCCAGCATGACCACAAGCAAGTCAGAACCCTATCAGCCTCCCAGCCCTCATTCCCATCCATCCCAAACTTGGCTCCAGACTTTCAGTTAAATTCCCCAGATACAGCAACATCTCTTAGCATCTAGAGCCAAAAGGAACTTCCTGCAGATTTCTAAGAACTGAAACAAAATGCATTCCTGTTCGTGATTTATTGATAGGTTTTCGGTAATCAGGTATTCACAGAAGGGAACACTCACTCCATTGTGTGATTCATAAGCACATTCCATCCTCCTTCCCATGTCTTAACTCAAATCTTAATTGCCTTAGCTCTGTTTATTTTCCAAAGAAACTCCTAAAAGAGCTTGGAGAATTCTGGGGTTCTCCCACATTTTTCTTTAAACAAGGCTTTGCATCTGTTAAAAAACCTTTCTGTTACTGCAAAATGGAAAAACCACAATTGTATGCACATCAGTGGCTCTTCATTCCTCTGGGACTCTGAGCTCCTACTTACTATGGATTCAAAGCCTCAGGATACACGAAAATGAAAAATACTGACAACAATTTAACGATGAGGGCAGAGAGAAGAGAGATAGTGTAAATTGCATCAACTTGCTCCTTGGGAGACATATAGGCCTCTTGGAAGGTGACCATAAGATTAGTGAACTCATTTCTCTTTCCCTGAGTAACTTGAAGGCACACTCATCTGAAGCTGATAATTCGGAAATAAGTTGGGGCGGGGGTGCAGGCAGGATGGGGTAGGGGCTAAGGGCTGGGAGTGGAGGCCAGTGAGGAGGCTGGGAGAGGTCTTCTCGTGAGGGTAATTGACAACTCTTAGCATGGTGTCTCATTTCTTTGGAGAAAAAAGAGATGCCTTTGGAATCTCTCACATTCACTGATTCTCTGTCCCTTCCCTTCCCCTCCCCTCCCTTCCCCCGCCTCTTATGTCTTCTCAGTTTCCCTGTGTGTGTGTGTGTGTGTCTGTCTGTCTCTCTCAGTAATCACCTGCATACACTTTCTGTGATATTCACCCTGGAAGATCCTCAGCCAAAGCGGGGCTAAACTCTGTATTTTCATGTTCGTATAGCCTCCCCCCAGAGGTGAATGCAGGTAGCCCTGCTTTGGAGGGTTTGCCTACCAGGTAGGAAAAGAGGCTGCAGGGGGTAGATTCTGGAAAGAACTCAAAGAGTGGTCCACACGACCCTGACCCCTTCCCGGGATCCTCCTATTTCTGCCTGTTCAGTCCAACCTCACTTGGTTGGCTCCGTAAGTTCCCTGTCTGCCCCTCCTCTGTGTTTCCTGGAACTCTCCACTTCAAAACCATTTCCAGGAATATGACTCAGAGATGTCCCCACTCAGCCAGACCTCAGCGGTCTTCTTGCTCCCCAGGGCACACTTCGTCTCCCTCCACCTCCGCGAGCCCCTCGAATACACAGAAATCCATCTGTGTCTTCTCCAGACCTCCTCACTTCCTTTCTAGCCACCCTTCCCTTATGCAAACCCTGGTGCAGCAACTCACCCAAATTGAACACAGGCTTGGTAGATAGGGGAATGGTGTTACTGTTATAATGCGGACCTATCATTAAGTCACTTCGGATTATTATCAGCATGCCAACAGTGTGGGCCCCAAGAAAGAGCAGTTGACTGCAAAGCTCCCTCGCAAGCCACTACATTCAGTACTACACCCGCTGCCCATTCGCCCTCATCCTTTGTCCTAGATTGGTTTAGCAAAAGAAATGAGCCCGAGACCCTGAGCCAGAACCACCCCTCAGGGGCATGTCCACAATTCACTGAAAGCTCGCAGCTGCCTCCTCACCTGCGGCTTCTGAAGAAGGATCGAGGTAAAGCCCCTGCCGACCAGCAGCCAGTGGGAACCAGTGGGAAACTCTGATCCTGCTCCAGGCCTCCGAATCAGAATCTGTTATTTAGAAAACCCTCCAGGGAAGCATAGGCTCGGGTAAGTTAAAAGAAGCGCTGCTCCGGGAGGGCCAGGGATGGGGGAGGGGATGTCCTAGCGCTGATGAATCATCAGATAGGTTTCACGGTGGAAACGGTACTCAGAGGCTGTTGGACAGGCGGGGGAAATGTGTGATGAGAGCACAGAAAAGTAAGCAAAGGAACTAAGAGGAACCACTTAACGCCTTCCCTCCTCCATCTCCAAAAAGCACAAGAAGTTGTACAGGAAAGGAAAGGAAATCAGATGCGATACTTGGATCCGTAAAATCACAGCTACATAACCAATAGTATTGGAAACACTGAACGGAAGGGATATATTTCTATTGTATTAAGTAGTCAGGGTTTTCCAGAGAAACAGAACCAAATCTGCATTTGGGAAGAGTCATTCCGGCAGTCTGGAGAGTCAGTTGGAGCCCTGATCTTTTGTTGGTCTTACTCACAGTCTCAATTAAAAGGCAAAGTACAAACTGGGGTGGTGAAGGATTTGGGCCACAAATGTAATACAGGGTTGACACCTTTGACTTATAAAAAGTGCATACAGACTGATAAGAAACAGCAGAATCTGTCTGGGGGAAAATGGGCAATTCGCCTGAAAAGATCACTTCCAGAATATATTAAATGGTTAATATGAAAAATGATCAGCCTCACTGCCATGTAAATGCCTAGCAAAATAATAATTTGATCTATTTCACCCATCCCATTAGAGATAGTGGGGAGGCGTAGCCCTCCGTGTTGGCAGGAATTAGATGAGAAAGACATTTCCATTAATGGTGTGATAGGTTTAACAGCTCAGGAGGGAACTTCGGCAATAAGCTCATAATTCAACTTACAGAACTGATGACTATATTTCTGGGAATTTATCAGAAAGTTTGTCAGGCAGTTATCAAAGATGTGGACAAAGACTTGTGTATAAAGTGCACTAGTTATAGGAGGCAAAACAAAAAACCCACCCAAAAACCTACTAAGAGGGGCACCTGGGTGGCTCGGATGGTTAGGCTTCTGCCTTTGGCTTGGGTCGGGGTCCCACATCAGGCTCCCTGCTTGGCGGGGAGACTGCTTCTGCCTCTCCCCCTGCTCCTGCTCTCTCTGTATTTCTCTGTCTCAAATGAATAAATAAAATCTGAAACAAAACAAAACAAAACAAAAAAACAAACCCACTAAGATATCCCACCCTCTTGGGAATCATAGGAACCCACGATATGATATATAAGCATAAGCAATGTTTCAAATTATGCAAAAGCTTCATCAGTTCTGCCAAAATGTGAATAGAGGCTATCATTAGTTGGTGACATTATGAGTGATGTCTACTTTTTTTAAAAAAATGTTTTTCCAGAGGTGGCTGGCTGGCTTAGTGAGGCATGCAAGTCTTGATCTTAGGGTTGTAAGTTTGAGCCCTGCATTGGGTGTAGAGGATACTTATTTTTTTTTTAATTTTATTTATTTATTTGACAGAGAGAGAGAGAGATAGCGAGAGGAGGAACACAAGCAGGGGGGTTGGAGAGGGAGAAGCAGGCTTCCTGGGATCATGACCTGAGCCAGAAGGCAGAGACTTAACAACGGAGCCACCCAGGTGCCACCCTGAGGGTACTTAAAAGTAAAGTCTTAAAGGGGTGCCTGGGTGGCTCAGCCATTGAAGCATTAGACTCTTGATTTTGGCTCAGGTCATGATCTCAGGGTGTCGAGATGGAACCCTGTGGTGGGGCTCCTGCTTAACGTTCTCTCTCTTCCTGTCCCTCTGCCCAACCCCCAGCTCACATTCTATCTCTCTCTCTCAAAAATAATAATAAAAATAAATAAAATTAATAAATTAAAAATAAAAATAAAATCTTTTAAAAAATAAACAAGTTTTTCCATATTTTTAAATTTTTTCATAACAATAAGAAGTTTAGCCCAAAATAAGGAAATGCAGGCTGAATTGCTTGCAGGGAGGTAACTTCTTGGAGGCCTTGAAAACGGAATCACACACATGCATTCCCAGCCTACCTTTAAATTTTCAACCCACATAAACAACAATAGGATAACAATTTACCCTCTTCTAAATCCCTATGGTATGCTAAGCACTTTACTTGCTTAATCTCATTTAATGCAGCGCCTCTCCAAAGAAGGTATTATTAACGATATTCCTAATTTAGAGGTAAAAGAAGTGAGGCTTGAAGCGGTGAATGAACTGGCTTGAGGCCTTACAATCTCATTTAGTGTTGCCCCGACCCTCTTCCTTTTTCAGCTGATTGCCTTTTATTCAGTCCAGCTCATCAGTGTATATCCTGGTCTTTGAGCTGAAGACCACAAATGCACAGACCCTTCATCTCTCTGGAAAACTTTTTTTTTTCCCCCCCAAAGGAAATGCATCTGGGGCCTGGGGGCAGGCTTTGCTGGGAGCACTTCCCCCTTCCCTCTTCCTCTGGCCTTTAACTGTGGCCCCTGGGGCCGGGAGCAGCTCTGTCACTGGGTAGCTGGGCTCATTGGTGCCTCTTCCTCCAGGATCAGAGGTCAGTACCTGCGACGGCTCTCATGCCCCTGAGAGCGCCGGCAGCCGGGAGGGCATCTGCTCTCCCTCTGGCTTCTTCCCGCAGACCTGGGCCCTCTGCCCCGCACCCAGTTCTCTCTCCAGCTCCCCTTTCTTGTGCCTTCTCCTCTCGACTTTCCTCTTTTTTCCTCCAGTTCAATCCCCCGGTTCCCGTCTTTGCCTCCGTTGCTTCGTCTTCATTGTCACTGCAGAGAGCGAATACCAAGTCACTATATTTGGGGGGAAAAGAGGCTTTTTATAGAGCAGTGGTCCCAAGACTTGTTCACTGACACGCAACCCATTAATGGGCACTGTGTCTCACCATCCCCTCCTCCTGCGATTCTCTTGGGGTTTCAGGGCCTGTTCTGTGGCTGTACCCGTGCTTGAGCAGACCGCGCGGTGGCTGCGCGGGTGCCAAAGGCTGCACCGACCGAGAGTCCGCAGTGGGAGGAGGCGAGGGGGAGGTTTCGGGTGCAAAGGTCTAGAGCGTTCCAGGTTGGAAAGAGCGGTGGGGAGGACGCAGCAGAAGGGTGTCTGAAGAAACTTCGTGGTCTCCTGTGCATTCATCTCCTAGGCGGAAGTTCTGACGACCGTGGGCCCCCGGCAGCCTGCTGCCCCAGGAAGGCTGGAGATGGCGGTGTCCCCAAACTCCTGCCTCCCCAGGGGTCTGCTCATCCTCACTTTCTTCCAGCTGTGCAAGCCGGATTCGGGTAGGCGCCGCCTGGGTCTCCCTCTCTGGTCCCCTCACCCGCACCCCCGGCCGGAACCGCTCACTAAAGGTCTCGCTAGCGCCCTCCGCGGGGGTCCCCGAGGCGCAGGAGCTACGGTCGCGGGCACTGAGCCGGGTCGGCGTCCGCGCTCAGCTGCCCGCTCCGCACCCTGTCTGCCCGCCCGGTTTTCGCAGCCCACTTCGACGTGATCGGGCCGGCGGAGCCCATCCTGGCCGTGGTGGGTGACGACATCGAGCTGCCCTGCCACCTGTCCCCGAACGTGAGCGCCGAGCGCATGGAGCTGCGCTGGTTCCGCAGGAAGGTGGCGGCGGCCGTGCTGGTGCTCCGGGACGGGCGCGAGCAGGCCGAGGAGCAGGTGGCCGAGTACCGCGGCAGAGCCACGCTCGTGGCCCGCGACATCGCGGCGGGGCGCGTGGCCGTGAGGATCCACCGGGTCAGGGCCTCGGACGACGGCGAGTACCGATGCTTCTTCCGGCAGGACGGGAGCTACGAGGAGGCCAGCGTGCACCTGAAGGTGGCCGGTGAGCGCGCGGGGTTAGGCTTCCTCCGGCGACTTCCCGGCGGTGTACATTTTCCTGTGGCCCCGTGACTTTGGACACCACCAGATTCTTTGCCCAGGTCCCTCCTGGGATGGAAAAGGTCGGCAGGCCTAGAGTGGGGGGTGACTCGGAGGGGCGTTTGAGAGTGGGGACAGAGCATTTCCCCATGTCATGAGTTAAGTAAATGGAAGATGCACCGGCTATATAACATTCTTCTCCGTGAGTACCTCGTAATACACTTGATCCGGTCTCAGAATTGCACAGTTAGGTCGTGTCTATTTTTCACCACTACGGTGAGGCTCTGGTGCGCATCCTTTGAAGCTGCTTTATGGATTAGTACCTAAGGGCGGATTTCCTAAGATCCTAGAGCGTGGCTGCTCCTTAACATTCTTGATCCACCGAGAAAAGTGTTTGGTTTTTGTTTCCTTTTTAGCTTCAAGCCCAAATTCAGGGTGGAAACCATAATGGAAATGGTAAGCATTCAGGAGGAGAGTAAGCATTTGTGCTCTGACTTTCCCACTCACTAGTGAATGGAAGCAAACAAATCTCTTTCTGAGCCTTATTTCCTACTGAAAAAATGGGCATGCACCTATCAAATGATATTTTGCAAGAATGAAATAAAATTACACCATACCTAAGAAACTGCCTTGTCGACGCTTGCAGAAGCATTGCATGCTTGTAAGATATTATTGCTGCGCCTCAGACTGCAGGTCGGTGGCTCTGCAGCATATAAATGTGTTGCCTTTTATGTATATATTAAAGGTAAAGTTAAAAAATACTAGGGTGTAATTTGGGTCTCTGCCTCAGAATAGGGTGTCCCAGGCAGCAGCATTATGTATAACTCACATTTCCTTTTTAGAGAATTATCTTAAAAGTTGACTATAAGACCCTAGAGATGTGATAGCATAGAACTGTCATTATAACCTTTTATGAGTGATAGATATATTTGAGATTCTTCTGGAAGTGGCAGCCCTTTCCATGAACAGAATCCGCATTGTCACGTAGACACACATACTGGAACGTGGATTTCAGCTAGCAGTGTGGACACGTGTTTGAGGTGTCTTCTCTGCAGCTTGGTGTTTGTCTCTACTCTGTAGAATTGAAAGAAAATAATCAGGCTGAAGACAGAAGGGAAAAACAGCTTTATGTTGCTATATGTTAGGACCTAACTGTGTTGGGGGGAAGATGAGGTTGAAACCCATTTAAGAAAATTCCTGAATCGGTATCACAGGTAAAGGAAACTTAGATTGTCAGCTACAATCTCAATGCAAAGAAGCTGCAGTCCCCTTCTCTTCAAGTACTCCTTCTCGGATCACCCTCAAATACCCACTCCTAGGTCCCCTCTTCAAAGTCTTTTCCTAATACTTCAGACTGCAAAGCTCTCTCCCCTCTCTGGAGCCCCCTTCCTTGCCTTATTTAGCCATTGGTCTCCCTGTCCCTGCTGATTAGAAAAGCTCCCTATGTCTGTCCATCAAACTTCTGCCCTCACTTCAAACCCTAACTCCCAGTATGGCATCCCTCTCTGATAAGGTTATGAAATTCCTTTTATTGATACCACAGCTTCCTTGTGTCATGAAATAGGAGATGAGTCCCTCTCACTCCCAGTCTCTGTGTGCTTCTTTTTCTCAAACTGTGTAACCCTGTGGTTATAAGGCTCCCAGAAGGGTGTCCACTGAAAAAGTAAGGCCAGCCTCTCTCTCCATAGCTCTGGGCTCTGATCCTCACATCCATATGGAAGTTCGAGAAAGTGGAGAGGTCCGGCTGGAGTGTACCTCAGTAGGATGGTACCCAGAGCCCCAGGTACAGTGGAGGACTTCTGAGGGAGAGAAGTTTCCATCCACGTCAGAGTCTAGGAATCCTGATGAAGAAGGCCTGTTCACTGTGGCAGCTTCAGTGATCATCAGAGACCCCTTCATGAAGAATATATCCTGCTGTATCCGGAACCTCCTTCTTGGCCAGCAGAAGGAAGTAAACATTTCCATACCAGGTCAGTGAAATCAACGCTGGGTTCCTATTGGACACAGTTTCAGGGCCATATTACCTGGGACACGTGCCCAAGGCATGCCCTCATGGTGCAGCTGTCTACTGTCCCCACCTAAGCTCCTGACCACTGACATGAAGGAGCCCCACCAATTTTACTAGAAGAGAAAAGATTCTAAATGCATAAAATCTGCCTTGATCTCATAGAAATTCCAGATTTTCCGTTTTAGGAGATATATCTTAGATTCAGAGGCTTTGCCTCTGGGGCCTTCTCTCCTTGAGTAACAAGAAAACCCATTTCTACCCTTGCCCGTCTGCCTGCCCCACCCTATACTAGAGCTCCGTCCAGGTTTCCAGTGCCCTCAGGAAGGCAAATCTCATCATTCCCTCCAGACTACCTCTGGTTCAGGCAGGAACCTTTCCTTATTCTTTGGTCATTGGGTCCCATCCTGTAGCACACAGAGGGGACATTTTCCCTTCCTGATTTACTTCCTTCATCCCCTTGGCTTCCATCCTGCATTGAGAGTTAAGAAAGAATTTCCACAATAACATGAATTGATCCATTACTTTCTTCGCTTCCCAGGTCCTGTCCTGAAGTGACTCTTCTCTTTTTCTTGCCCATAATCAAAACTTTATTGAAAAACTGATACCAAAATAGATCATGGTTGTATCTCTTACAAAATTAAACATAATTACATTATCTTGGTACACTAACTGGAATTACTGAACCGATAAGGCTTTCTGCAATGTAACAGAAATTCAAGAGGTTGTGGGGACCGTTAGTGTTGCTTTCCTCTAAATGAACACCCTTCTGTGAGTCTGGCCTTTCTCCTGTTGGCTGGCACAGCACTGCTGAGCTCCCTCTACAAAGGATCACCGTCTGAGCACGGCTGAAATCCAGGGTAATCTTGTAGCAACCTTGACATTTTCTTTCTTTCTTTTTTTTTTTTTAAGATTTTATTTATTTATTTGAGAGAGAGAGAGAGAATGAGAGACAGAGCACGAGAGGGAGGAGGGTCAGAGGGAGAAGCAGACTCCCCGCTGAGCAGGGAGCCCGATGCGGGACTCGATCCTGGGACTCCAGGATCATGACCTGAGCCGAAGGCAGTTGCCCAACCAACCGAGCCACCCAGGCGCCCCGCAACCTTGACATTTTCCATCCATAAAAAAGGAATTTGGGCTTTGAACTACCCATTTTTTTTTAAAAGATTTTTATGTATTTATTTGACAGAGAGCACACAAGCGGGGGAGGGCAGAGGGAGAGGGAGAAGCAGACTCCCCGCTGAGCAGAGAGCCTAATCCCAGGATCCCGGGACCTGACCTGAAGGCAGACGCCTAACCAGTTGAGCCTGTCAGGCGCCCCCTAGCCATTTCTTTTTATGTTTTTTTTCTTTTCCCCTTCCAAGGGCAGGTGTAGTAAATCTCCAGCCAAAGGCATTATCTTCTGCAAGCCCAGCCAGTCCCCATCTCTAAGGTGACACTGTCAGGCCCGAAATGACTCCTGTTCATCTTCATTCCTCTCTTTCTCTGCCCTCTCCCACCTAAGATCAAAATTTTTCTGAGAAGCTTAGAGCAGCAACATCAGAAGGTCTATTTTTTGCCCTGGGAGGAGTGGGAGAGGGCCAGGTCATCCTCTCTTCCAACCCCCTTCGGAATCAAGTAGAGCTGGCCTTGCTCAGATCGCACAACAACCCGTCCTTCTTGCGGATTTTGTTTCAGCTTCCTTCTTCCCAAAGTTGACTCCCTGGATGGTGGCGGTGGCTGTCATCTTGATGGTCCTAGGAGTTCTCACAATTGGGTCCATAGTTTGCACTTGGAGACTCTACAAGGAAAGATCCAGACAGAGGAAGGATGAAATCAGCTCTAAGGGTAAGTCATAGGCTGCTTGTCGGGCAGGCTTCCGAGTGGGGTTGGATCCAAGTCCTTTGGGATGGCTGCCAGTGGGAAGATATTTGAGTCTAGAATTCTGAGAGTCAAGAAGGGGGATTATAAGGCACCAGAAGCCACTGATACCCAATATGAAGGTCTGGGGCAAAGGAGTCAAAACCAGTGCTCATTGAGATATCAGACCTGCTGTTCACTCACTACCCTCCCTCAGACTCTCTCCTCACTTCTAACTTGGTTTCCCAGGAAAGATTAAAGATCTGATCCCAAACCAGTAGGAACTTCCTGCACATTTCTTAGAAAAAACAAACAAACAAACCCATAATCCTTGTTCATTTGTTGATAGAGTTTCAGTAATCAGGTAATCATGAATTCACCCTTCACTCCTTTGTGTGTTCCTCACACTAGCTTTCTCCCCTCCCTCATGTCCACTCTAGAAGGTCATTAAGGTATTTCTGTTTCTTTTCCAGAGAAACTCCTGGAAGAACTCAGTAAGTTCTCTCTTCTTGTCATTATTTCTCCAACAAGGTGTTCTCTCTCTTATTAGAAAACCTGTCACTGACTCTCTCTCTCTTTCATTGCAGAGTTGAAAAAGGCAATGGTGCATGCAGGTCGGTGGCTCTGAACTTCTCAGACTTCTCAGGGGCTCTGAGGCTCTATGCCCCAGGGATTCAAAGTCCTGTCATACTTGGAAATAAAAACACTAACCCATTTTGGGGGGGGATAGATAGGGGAAAGATGATGGCAAATGGCCTCCACATTTTCCTTAAGGCACATAGAAGGCCCTTGGAAGACGTTTAGAAGACAAGCCCCTCTGACAGGGACTTGATGGGTGACTGTTGATGGGTCACAGGAGGGGGCCAAACAGCTCTCCTCCTGTGGGGACCTGCCAACTTCTAGAACAGTGCTCTATTTTTTTTTTTTTTTTTTTTTTTGAGAAGAAAGAATAGGTCTTGTGACCCCTAATGCTTACTGATGCTCAGACTTGCTCTCTCTCTGTCTCTAGTTGATGTGACTCTGGATCCAGACACCGCCCACCCCCACCTCTTTTTGTATGAGGATTCCAAATCTGTCCGACTGGAAGATTCACGTCAGGAACTGCCTGAGAAATCAGAGAGATTTGACTCCTGGCCTTGCGTGTTGGGTCGGGAGACCTTCACGGCAGGGCGACATTTCTGGGAGGTGGAGGTGGGAGATAGGGCTGACTGGGCGGTCGGGGTGTGCAGGGAGAATGTGGTGAGGAAAGGGTTTGACCCCATGACTCCTGAGAATGGGTTCTGGGCTGTGGAGTTGTATGGGAATGAGTACTGGGCCCTCACCCCGCGGAGGACCCCTCTCCCCTTAGCAGGACCGCCCCGTCGGGTTGGGATTTTCCTGGACTACGAATCAGGACAGGTCTCCTTTTACAATATGACTGACAGGTCCCATATCTATACTTTCTCCAACGCCTCCTCTGGCGCACTCCGGCCTTTCTTCTGCCTGTGGTCCTGTGGTAAAAAGCCCCTGATGATCTGCCCAGTCCCTGACGGGCCTGAGAGAGTCACAGTTGTTGCTGATGCCAAGGACTTCACTAAGGAGATCCCACTGTCCCCCATGCGGGAGGACTCTGCCTCTGGGGATACGGATACCCTTCATTCTAAGCTAATCCCTATCCAGCCCAGCCAAAGGGCACCTTAAGGAATGTCCCAGCCCAGCTACTTTCCTTTGTCCTAAGCCCTCCCCTCCGTCCCCTCTGACACACCAGCGGCCAGGTCCCCCCAGCCCCTGTTTCCCCCTGTTGGGGAGGGATCAGTTGGTCTTGGGAGGTGCGGTGCGGGGTGCGGGGCCTTCCTCATCGGTTTCTGTGCTGATCCTCAGGGGGCAGGAGGTCACGCTGAAGCTGTAGCAGTCTCCTATCTCCGGAGGCCAAATCCTATAGGGAGGCGCAGCTCAGCGATCAAGATGGGGTTAGGTTGGCATGGGGTTATGACAGAAACATCTGGGTGTCCAGAATAGGGATGTGTAGAGGAACAGGTTTTAGGCAAGCAGGAAACCCAAAAGGTTCTGGGAAGAGAAGATTCAAGGCTGAAATCCCATGAAGGAACTGGGGGGTACATCACGATGGACTGTGAGGGGAACCCAGGCCAGTGATGAACACCTGGCCCACTTCTAGACTTTCTGGGCCTGTATGTCCAGCTTTCTAAGACACCTCCTACAAAGTGGAGGCAGCTGGCCCTACTTCCGCGGGATCTGAGCCATCGGATGGGGACCTGGGGAAGGGATGAAATGAGCGGGGCTGGGGGGCAGACCAAAGATCTGACGCAAGAGAAAACTTCAGACCAAGCCCAGGCTGGGCGCCTGGCTGTGCCCCAGATCCTGCTCTCCTCTTGGCCTCGGCCTGTCCCCCGACCCGGGGGTCCTTCCAGCCTCGCTCCGTGGACGCCACCCAAGTTTCCAGCTCTCTCTTCCTTTCACTGTAGAATCTCTCCATCCCAGAGGCTTTTCAGGAATCCTCCTCAGTGACATCACCCCTTTATCCGCCAGGGTCGGCCTCGGGGCCCCCCAGCCCTCCTCCCCACCTCTGGGTTAAACCCCCAAACGCACCTTCAGTTCACCCCCCTGCCACCCACGCGCACCCCCCGCCAGCATTCACTCGCCCCACCCCGCAGGCTGCTTTTCCCCTGGGCCCCCAGATGCTGCGTCCTGGTGTGAGCTCGGCTAGCTGACCATGTCTCCTTGTGTCTGCACTTTCCTGTACACAGTGGCTCGGCATGCCCCCAAACTGCAGATTTATCTGGGCGCACACCTTCCATTTCCATTGCATTTCTCCAGTTTCCAGAGTAGATGTCGCCCACGGTCTTAAGCTAATAAATAAGTCTGTTGATTGCTGAAGGCAGCACCTGCACCTTTCCTTTATCCCGACAAGTGCAAGTGAAGTAAGAACAAGTGGGAACGCAGCTGGCTGGCCACGGCCGCGCGTCTGTGTGTCCAAGGCTCACCTGCGGCCAGAGGGCGGGGGGCTCGCCAGGGCAGGAGGCACAAGGGGCTGTTGGCGTGTGGGGATCTAGCTGCCCACAGAGGCCAGCGTGCTGGTGCCTGCCCCCACTCAGCCTCCGTTCCGGGGGCGGGGTTGACTCCATATCTACTCCTAAAAAGGTAATTGACTCCTGGTGTAGGTGAGTGAGGCCACCTCTTCAAATGTTCACAGCACTTTTCCAGGGGGAGGAAATATTTGGGAAATTTTTAATGGTAATGCCTTGTAATCGGAAAACCAAAAGCAAAAAAACTTGATCTTTAGAAACCCCTTTTCCAAGGATTGCTTCAAAGCCCTGTAGTTCAGTGACATGCGCACTTTCCCTGTGTCGCCCCAAGCAAGGGTCGACAGTGGTCTCCTTCACAGAAGGTCTGACCTGAATGCAATCTGCTGCCCAAAGGGACAGAATGTGAGTCTCCAAAGGTTCACCAAGTGGCGGGAAAATCACCTCAGATGTGTGTCTCCTGCTAGGAAATCATTGAAATCAGATCTGTTATGGATCAAACAACAAGAAATCCAAATTCCAAATAATGCTCCCCCTAACATATTATTCCCGTTATTGTACCACATTACATTTCTCATGATTAAGCTAAAAACCAACTTTCCTAAATTTTCAGTCTACTAACTACCCTTACAGAAGACTGTGACAAATTAAGACCCAACATGGTCTCTTAAGTGGAAATTCTGAACACCAGACAGGTCTATTATCACCACGTTCACTTGTGATTTGTGACATACAACATTGTCAACAACTCTCCATTACTCACCTTTGTTATTGTCAGCCCCCAGGCCCCATTTCCGTTAGGTTTTGGTAATGATTGTGGTTATGATTATGAGTTAGGACTTTGGGTTCAACACCTACATAACCATATCTAGACAACCACATTTCCATATATGTACTGCTAGATTATTTTAAAATGAATCCTCATGAAGGCTTGTAAATCAGGAGACCACACAAGTATGTGGGGAAGAGGTTGAGAAGATGTAATGGATGAGAAGTGCCTGTCGACATTTTCCCTCTGCCTCCTTTCAGAGATGAGAATCTGAAGCCAGGAGACATAAAGTGATTTGATTAAAGCATTTAGTCTGTGCACAAAGCAGGACCTGAACGCTGGTGTCCTTGCTCTCTGTGTCTAGGACATCTTCCGTGAACAAACCCCAGTTGAATAGCAGGACTAGAGGCTCAGAGAAATTATCGAGGTGGGAGAGTCTTAGGCATGAAGAGGGTCAGGAAAAGAAAAAAGCAACTACGTGTGCCACCTTTTACTTGGACCAAGGGCTGGCACCCAGAGAACCAGATAGAAAGGGCCCCTTCCTGTATCATTTCATGGATCCCCAACACCCAGCGTCCTTCCCATGCCCCTGCCCCAAACACTTCTCACCCCACACTGTCCACCCCATGCCACCCTTCCCCCACTGTCCTCCTGGGAGAAGAACATCATTTATCATGCCTTTAAGTGTTCGTTTGTGTTCAAATTATACTTTTAGAAAGTCAGAGAAAAACAAAGTCCAAATTTCTTTAAAAATACTTGGGAACCTCAGACAGGTGCTCTGCTAGTTTAATGTATAATGTGTATCCTGAGATGTTATGTGAAATCTCACCCAGAACAGACGGGACTGCCCCAAGAACCCCTCTCCGAGAATATAAAGACAGTCATAGGTTTTAATCATCTCTGTGACTCCCCTCCCCTTCCCCCATGATCCTTGACCTCCCCAAGATCCACGATTTCCTTGACCATTCAGGGAAAATGGTCACCAGACACAGTACTGAGCTGACAGTAGATTCATAGGAAACATTTGTCTCCTTCCTTTCCACCTCCCTTCCCCCTCCCCTGGCTCTAGCTTCTTTGCTTAAGACACCTCTAAGGAAGAACTTACCTGATGAGCCTTGAGGCTCTCTTTCTAGCAGGCATCTGCTGCCAGGGCCTGGAGGAAATGATCAGTGTTGGTAGGCCTGGCTTTTTTTTCCTGAATTTTCTAAAAGAGATGACATTTGGTGTTGCTGGACCTCTAAGACCCAGAAAGTTTATCTGCATCCTTGAGAGATATATTTGTCTTCACAAAATGCCTACGTACAACCTCCTTCCATGCAAGCCCTCCAATAATCGGATTTTAACAGTCTCTACAGATTGCTTCCATCTTATCTCCCGGAGGGGTTGGGCTCTGGCCTTTCAGGTCCCAGGGAACACCTTCCTTTGGTTATCGTCATCCCTGGCTCTCTCCAGTGAGTCACATTCAGACGTCGAGACGCAGGTGGGCACACGCATTCGGAGCCTCCGCACATCCCTGTAAGCTGCGCTTTGGGCCCCTGCACTCTGTGATTCACACATATTTCGGGCCAGAGCCCTGTGCCCCAGAGGCCCGAACACTTTTTTGAAGGTGGCCCCTCCACCTTACCCTTAAAAGAAAGATCTAGCCTTTTCTTACAGCTAACCCCTAAAATAATGATCTCAAACTTGGGTGCACAGGAGAATCCCCTAGGGGTGGAGGGGAAGTCCCACCAAATACAATTCCCAGGTGGCACTCTTAGGTCTGAGGTGGGAGGATGTTGGCAATACCCACAGGCTTTCACATTTCACCTCCTGCTAATGGCAGAGCCCGGTCTGTGAGGCCTGACAGGGTTGCTGTGCTCAAAGCGGGTGACTGCAAACTTGGGCATGGCTCCGAATTACATGGAGCGCTTGTTAGACACGCCTTACCGGACTCTATCCCCCAAAGGTCTGATTCAGTAGGTCTGGATGGGACTGAGAATTTGCCTCTAACTGGTTCCCTGGCGATGGGGATTTGATGCATAATTTAAGAGATGAAGCACTGTAGTTCTTCAGCTGAATTTAGATGTAACTGTCAAGCGCCTCGGAAAGTTTGTCAGGTGGACAGAGGCAAAATGAGTTGTCTACAATCCTGCAGGCAGTTAAGTGACCAGTTTCTAGCTTTGTTTGAAACTCTCAGGTTCCCAGACTCCCAGGCAGCGCTATTCTGAGCACAGGGTCCTGACTCTAACGCTGGGCGAGAAAACCTGAAGTAGGTCCCCTCTGACCTTAGGTATGTTCCGAAAGTGGCTGCAGTAGAGGCTTGGCACCAAGGCCCCCGCCTGCCGGGTTTACTAGATACAGAAACTACTCACTTTTTTTTTTTTTTTTTGCTTTTTTAAACTATTTATTGCAGTAAAGCATCCATAGAGTAACGCCCGCAAATCCTCAGTGCACAGAGCTAAATGCTCTCAGAAGAAGCCAGACCAGCCGGCCTCCTAACACCGATTCCCGGAGTGGGGGCGAGGGCGGTAAGCACCCGCTGGGGGATTTACAGGAAAGGCTGGGGAGGAGTGAGCGAGCACCTGCGGGCTCGGCCTCAGCCAGCACTTGCCTGGAACGGCCTAGAGCCTCCGGGGGCCAAGTGTGTATGCCAGGAACACGGTGGCATTATTTAAATAGGATTCTGCCGAGAGTGCCCTTCTTCCCGGGCATCCCGTCCCGCTCCTCCCGGGCCTGGAATCGAATCCGAGGTCCCACAGCAGGTGCCCTTTGAACCCCCAGCAACCGAGCGCCCCGGGCGGATCTCGAAGGCGTGCTTTCACTCTTTCACCGAGGAGATCCCGTATCTTGAACAAAGAAGCGAATAGTGTTTCTGCAGCCCCAGAAGTAAATTCGGCGCAAGCACGGCACTC